ACCCCACGATATAATTCGTCCATCACCCGCGATCATCAGATTATCTTATCTTGCTCCGTCGTCCAATTTATTATCCCCCCCCCCCAGCCATCCTTTGTACTATATTATACTTGCTCCAGTGTCTATTTAATTAACAATTAATGAATCAATTAATTTTTGCTTGATCCTGATTATCAGTCCGGAAAATTCCAAGTCCCTGTCTTTCAATGAGAGACTCTAGTCTCTACCGTGTTGGCGAAGATTCAGATAGACTTGAGTCTCTCACCAAAGACTCTCCGAGATGTGAAACCGGTTACGGAAGACCCAGGCAGACTGATTTTAGTCTTTCACAGTCGTAGAGAGATCCAATAGACTAAAAATTTTTATCCCGGGGCGCCTATGGCAAAACCCTTGACCGCCAGTTGTCCCTCAATCAGTCCCACCAGGTGATGTAAGGCGGTATCTGTTGATCTTCCCTCCATGTATGCATATTGACAGGGGGAGAGGGATCTGTCAGCCAAGGGCCCGGCCTTGATGTGTCTATCCACCAGCCTCTCCAGGGTCTTCAGGATGAAGGATGTAAGGATTATAGGACGGAAGTCTTTTGGTTTTATATAACCGGTTTTTCCAGGCTTGGGAATGAATACTATCCTAGTTTCATTCCACACACTAGGGACATGTTTCAGGGCTATACTAGCTCTGAGTATCTTGGTTAGGGGTCCCGTGATAGTCTCTATCCCTTCCTGTAATAGGGCTGGGTAGATCCCGTCTGGTCCCGGTGCCTTGAAGGGTTCAAAGGTTTTGATGGCCCACTTGACCCCCCAGGGCTGCACTACTTTATTTGCCAATGCCCAATCATGGGTTTCGTAGACATCCCTCTGATTTTGCATTGTTTCTTTGTCCCTCTCCTGGGCCTGTATGAAGCCTGGAAAGTGAGTGTTCATTAGGAGTTTCAGAGTCTCTCCCATGGTTTCCGTGTGGCTGCCATCTGGTGCCTGTAGGCTCCCTAGATATGGAGTCTTGTTTGTTCCAAGGATTTTTGCCAGCCTAGAGGTCTCCGATTGACTCTCCACATTGCTTGTGAAAGCCCTCCAGCAGTCCTCTTTGGCTGCCTTTATTGCCTTGTTGTAATCTGCGAGCAAGCCTCTGTAAGTTTTCCATGCGTCTTCCTTACGGGGGCCCGCTCTCATGTTCTTAGCTTTGTTAAAAGCTTTTCTAGCTTTGCCCCTCAGCCCACCGAGCCTCTCTGACCACCAAGGAGTCTCAGTGGGCTGCCCTTTCGGGATAAGCTTGCAGTTTGTCTCGAAGGAGTCCATGATGGCCTGGTTTAGGGCAATCGAAGCCTCCTCCAGCTGCTTTTTGTTGTTAAATCTGAGGATGATATCCCTGAGATTGTCAGATAGACTCTCTCGGTAATTTCCCCAGTTTGTTCGTCTTGGGTTTCTCACCCATTCCGTTTCTTTCACTGTGTGGATGGACATTCTTATGGTTTGATGATCGGACGCTGAGAGGTCCTTTGAGACCCTCCAGTCCCCAATCATGTCTGCCACTCTATCCGTCCCCAGAGTGATATCTATGACCTCCTGTCGTCTCCGATCTATGAAGGTAGGTTCTGACCCCCTATTAAGGATGTTTAGATCGGCCCCCATTATGAATTCCTGGAGGCTTTCCCCCCTGCCGTTAATGCCGGTGCTCCCCCATGCTACATGGTGCGAGTTGGCATCACAACCTAGCAGGAGTTCAAGTCCCCTTTCCTTCACATGGTTGCATAGGTCCTTTACTTTTTTCGAAGGAGGTGGTTCAGCCGAGTCATAGGGCATGTAAACTGACCCTACAACCCAGCTCATTTCCTCGCCTTGTCCCAGGCCTAGATCTACTTGTGCCACAGCCAGGTCTCCCTCACTAGCCTGTGAACAGATGAAAGAGCCTAGTCCTTTAATAACAATACGAGATCTAATTTTTTCCTGAGTGTTTGCGTGATAGATTCTGCCACAACCACTGAGACCCTTAATGGCATTGCCACTATCCATGGTTCTTGGATCAATGCTATGACTATCTGCATCCCAGCTAATTGCCTGGCTAGAGTAGCGGAGGCTGCTTTGCTGTGATGCAAATTTATCTGTACAATACAATGTGCACCCGGGTTACAGCCATAATGCTGACCGCTTTCTTGGTACCTCTATGTACCCTTCTTCTGACTTTTACCACGGTCTTTCGCAAGCAGCTTGACAGTTGCTTTTTGAATCCCGCAGTGCAGTTTGAAGTTGCAGGCTTTCAGAACAGAGTGATCGGTCGCCTATCAGCGCAACAAAGTGGGCACTTTTCGCGTCCCCGCTCTCACTGCCCCGAGCCACAACCCACTCTCTGGCCTGCAGTCCTGCATTCTGTTTCTCAAGGACGCACAGTGCTTCTTGAGCGATTAGATCTGGGTCTTCCACGTGTACCACAACCCGGTGCTTCTTGGGAAGCTCCGAGGCTGCGACCACATGTACAGTAAGCCCAGCTATTTTATTTTCGGGGAAGAGCCTTTCAGCCAATTTCCCGTTTCCTCATCAGTGCAGTACACCATTGCCACACCTTCTCGTTCCCAGACACCGTTGAAAGTGGGTGCTTTCACCCCGTCAGGTAACGCCAGAGTGGCCGCCTTCAGGAGTTTCTTTACCTCCGTTACCTCTTCATTGGCCAGTTTCTGATCCGTATATGACTCCGGCATAACTGCAAACTTGAATGAGCTCGCAGTATTCAGAGCATATGTGCCCTGAACCTACGTTCTCATTCTCTTTTCTTTCGGTCTGACTGAGGGGCTTGGCGTGGTACGCTCCGATGGACGGCGTTTAATTGCCTTCCTCACAGCCCCCTCCCGCTGCCCCTCATCAACCTTTGCTGCTGCATCCGCCAAGGTTGCAATTGCCCCCGAGGTTTGATGCAGCTTCGCTCTCTTGCGACGTCTTCTCTCGGCTCCACTCAGTCTGACACGATTCACATCGGTACCAGACTGGTCAGCATAGTCAGACTTCGTGTGTTCGCCATCGCTGGCCCCACCCGATGTTTCTTTTTCAATACTGAGATTTTTTAGATTGGTTTCTATTTTTGGTCANAACAAAGGTTGATGGATGGGGAATTTGATTCTCCATCGAACAGCATTAATGTCATTCCTTCATATTAATTAGGAAGGGAGACACGATTTTTTAATTAGCGGGCGAGTTATCCATTGTGTTTTTCATCGTGCCGTAAATTGCGTCGCAGTTT